TGCTTCCAGAGGGAGGAGAGGCTGTCCATACATCCCTCCCCAGCTGGAGCGTGACACATGCTTGGACAGGGCAGACGAGCTGGCTATGCCTGGCATGGAATGACAGCTGCTAAAGCTGCTGGCCACAGCTTTCCTTCTCAAGGAGCCTGTGCTCTCTGGCTGCCCAGTTTACACAGAAGCTGAATCTTATGTGGCCTTTGCTCAGAATGACCTCTGAGTCCATTCTACACCAGCCACTTCTTACAGAAACACATCTACTCCTCCACTGGGGAGGAGTGGAGGAGGCTTCCCCTTCCAGCCCACAACAGCCTCCTGCTTTGAGAGGGACAGATGGCCCAGAAGTACCACTCAGAGGCTCAAAGTAATAAACTTGATGTGGCCCAGCCAACAGAGAGAGGCAGGACTCAGGCACTAGACCTGCCCAAGGTCACAGAGGTGCAGTGTGGGGAAAAGAAAGAAAGATCAGACTGTTACTGTGTCTATATAGAAAGAAGTAGACATAAGAGACTCCATTTTGTTCTGTATTTGAGATGCTGTTAATCTGTGACCCTACCCCCAACCTTGTCCTTGCAAGAGACATGTGCTGTGGTGACTCAAGGTTTAAATGATTTTGGGCTGTGCAGGGGTGCTTTGTTAAACAAGTGCCTGAAGGCAGCTTGCTGGTTAAAAATCATCACCATTCTCTTAATCTCAAGTACCCAGGGACACGTACACTGCCAAAGGTCGCAGGGATCTCTGCCTAGGAAAGCTAGGTATTGTCCAAGGTTTCTCCCCAGGTGATAGTCTGAAATATGGCCTCATGGGAAGGGAAAGACCTAATCATCCCCCAGCCTGACACCCGTGAAGGGTCTGTGCTGAGGAGGACTAGTATAAGAGGAAAGAAGGCCTCTTGGCCTTTGAGATAGAGGTTGAGATAGAGAAAAGCATCTGTCTCCTGCCCGTCCCTGGGCAATGGAACATCTCGGTGTAAAACCTGATTGCATGTTCTGTTTACTGAGAAAGGAGAAAACTGCCTTAGGGCGAAAGGTGGGACTTGCTAGCGCAATGCTCTTCTTTATGCACTAAAAAGGTTTATGGAGATGTTTGCATATGCATATCAAGGCACAGCACTTTTCCTTAAACTTATGTCACAGAGATCTTTATTCATATGTCTTACTGCTGACCTTCTCCCTACGATAATCCTATTATCCTGCTACTTCCCTTTTTCTAAGATGGTAAAGATAATTATCAATAAATACTAAGGGAACTCAGAGACTGGTGCAGGCGTGGGTCCTCTGTATGCTGAGCACCGGTCCCCTGGGCCCACTTTTTCTTTCTCTATACTTTTGTCTCTGTGTCTCATTTCTTTTCTCAAGTCTCTCGTTCCACCTAACGAGAAATGCCCACAGGTGTGGAGGGGCAGGCCACCCCTTCAGTGCAGCCCATGAGCTAAGACACAGCCCCAAAAGTTAAACGCATCTGACCACCTGTCATCACGGTTCAGACCAACATTTGGGATCAAAGGCCTAAAACCAAGTGGGCTGACCCAGTGTGGTAGAACACAATGAGGAGGACACCAGGAAGTGTCCAAACTCCCCCAGCCCAGGAGCATCCATGCCTATGTGGTCTGCCTGAGGCTCCATAGCATGCATGAGGCCTGGGACGTGAGGCTGGGCAGGGAGCAGGGCTCCAGGCTTGGGTAGCCAGTGAACATGGAACCAGAACAGATGCTCAGAAATAAGAACAGAAGGGGAACCAAGCTGAGTGAACAGAGATGGGGGTAAGGGTGGGCAAGGGCAACAGACAAGAGCCCATAAGAAGACACTGGCATCAGCACAGATGCCCAGCAGTCAGCTGGATACACTGCACCTGATTCCAATCTGCAGACAGGAGGCGATCCATCTGGAGTATTCGGGCAGGATCGAGACTGGGCTCAGGGAGATAAGGACCTTAGTAATGGGTGGGGAAGGGGCAAGCCACAGGGGACCAGACAGTAGCAACAGTTGCTACCACTCTAGGGTTTTCTCTCCATGCCCACCCGACTTGTGGAGCAGCTGAAGGCACAGGGTCTGATCCAGACCTGGGATGCTGGGTTTACAGGTTGCTGCCTGCCAGGTCGAGAGAGGGCCCAGCAGGGCTGAGTTTACATTGGGACCACTTTCCAGTGCAGTGTGGTCAGGTTCTCCAGATGCGATATGTGCTCCCATCCCCAATCCCTGAGTGCCAAAGATAGTAATTAAACAGCTGAGGTCCATCCCTACTCCCCACTTCCTGGGGCCTTCTGTTCCCTCATGGGATGCTTCCTTTTGCAGAACGAGGCTCTGTCATGGATCTCTGGTGCCACAGCACTAAGGCAGGAACACCAGGTGGCGGCAGGGCATGGTGGCTCACACCTGTAATCCCAGCACTTCCGGAGGCCCAGAGATGGATCATTTGAGGCCAGGAGTTTCAGACCAGCCTGGCCAACATGGCAAAACCCATCTCTACTAAAAATATATAAATTATCCAGGCATGGTGGTGGGCACCTGTAATCTCACCTACTTGGGTGGCTGAGGTGGGAGAATCGCTTGATCCCAGGAGGTGGAGGCTGCAGTGAGCTGAGATTGTGCCACTGCACTCCAGCCTAGGTGACAGAGTGACACCCTGTCTCAAAAACAAACAAATAAACAAAAACAAACAAAACAAAACACACACACACACACACACACAAACAGGTGGCTGGGCACCACAGAATGGGTAGTCCAAGATCCTCCAACTAGCTCTGAGTTCCAGCGGCATCCCATGGCCTAGGTTTTGGATTCCCAGCCTGTAAGTGAGTCTATAGCTTGATGGCTCTCCCACACTGAGCCTAGACTAGTGCTGTGCCGCAGCCAGGGGCTTAGCCCACCCTCCCACACCCATCTGATTTCTCATAACTCATATTTGGCTCGGACTCCACCACATTGTCACAGCCTTCAGGAACTGCACAGCCATAACGACACAGTGGCCGACACTTTGACAAATTACTAAAAGCTCAGCTAATAGGACTAAAGCACTTGTTCTAAGAAAGTCGTTTTATCTATATTTAAGCCCAATATATCCTTGGATAACTCAACTGACAAAGGTACAAGCCCATCGAAGGATGGCAGATGAACTGACAGAATCTGTAGATAAAAGAAAGCAGGTCAGCTTGATTCACCACCGCTGCCAGAACACCCTGGAAAGAGTCCAGGCGATTGCAGCGCAGAAGCACAGAGAAGTGGTAATTACAACTGTGGCATCACTATGTCTCTCAGAAGGAAAAAAAATAAAGGCACCTTTCAGATGTTCCCCCATCAAACACGAGGTGCCTACCTACTATGTGCCAGGCACTAGCACACTTCCTTACTGTTCACCAGATCCTGGGATTTGCTATCATCCTACTATCATTCTGCTTGCTTAGGCAGAAAGACCAGTGCCTTCATCTCTGAAGTGGAGGGAGATAACACACTACCTGCCTGATATGTGTCAGGAAACTCTCTTCTACCAACCAGGAGACGCCTGCTCCAACCCGACAAACCAGGAACTGGTGTGCAAATAACTGGGCATAGGCCCCGGTCTACCAAGCCTCCCCAGAGGCGTGAACCTCGGCCAGGTCAGGTCATTACCTCTCCTTAGACCTCAGCTGTAAAATGAGGACTTCTGGGGTCCATTCCTGAGGAGGAGGAAGGGCTGTGGCAACTGAAAGGGAGAGCAAGAGGATCCCAGGGTCAAGCCACCTTTATCTGCAGTTGCCAAGGTGCAGAGAAAGGGCGCAAAGCAGTCACTTAAAGAACATGGGCTGAAGTGCCCTGATCTCCTGAAGAGATCAGGAGGCACCAGCAGGCTCTCATGTCTTCCCTGGGAGAGCTTCCCCATGCCTTCTGCTTGTGGAGTGCACAGAAAAGCCTCCATCCAGGGCCTGTTCTATTGCTCAGCCCCCAACTCCCCTGCTTCCTGTTGCATAGGAAGGCTGATCTAGAGGCAGAAGTCAGACTAGACTGCAGGTGGGAGATGAGGCAGCTACTGCAAGGGTCCAGGCGAGACTGTGATAGGACAAGAATTATGGTCTTTAAAACAGCAGGCACGAGTGGGTGACACTTCAAAGGCAGATTCACTTGACAAACTTAAAGAGGAAGGACTCTGTGTTTCGCTTTATTAGCCCGAATGATTGGGGAATAAAAATGGAGAGGTGGTTTAGAGGACAAATAGGGGAATTCAGCTTTAGATACACTGAATTCCAGGTGGCAGCAGATAATCCATGTAAAAACTGTACAGCAGGATGAAGACAGAAAGACCATAAACCAGCAGGTCTATATTTTTTAAAAAAAGACTTGGTGATACTTCTGCTGGTATCCCTTCTTAATTCTGTTCCTATGATAATGTGGCAAAAATATCATGGGAGAGAGAATAACAAAAATATATATGTATTTCAAGAAATACTCCAAAACCACCTAATAAAGTTCAACTCCTATGCCTAATAACACCAAAACCTGACTAGATAGAATACCCAATGCTCGCAAGGGTGAAATAGCAGACACTCTCATACAGGCTGGAAGAACAAAGCCTTCTGGAAAACAACTTGACAATATGCATCAAGAGCCATAAAGCGTTAATATCTTGCCCTATAATATTACTTCTAGGAATCTATCCTAAGGACTATTCAAAAGAAAGCAATGGTATGTGATGAACAATTGAGGATATTTGGTACATGAAGATGCTCATTATCCATAATAGCAAAACATTGGAAGCCACTTAAATATCCAACCACAGGGGGAAAATTAAGAGCATTATAGGCCGCCGGTGAAATTATTATACAGGCATTAAAATGTTAGTTATGAAGACAGTGGTAACAGAGAAATCTTTTTCTTTCCCATTTACCATAAGTTTAAATGAAAAAAGAACAGAATATGTTATACAGACATTATAACAATAACTTCTGTGTTAAGATGGCAAGATTCTGGGTGAATCTTGGATGAAAAATAAGCCACTGAGAGTGTTAAAATCAGTTGAGGGGGTGGTACCTTGGCTCCGTCCACACTGATGATCCGATAGCTGTTCCTTGTGACATCATAGAAGTAGGAAACGGTGACCGCCTGCTTGCTCGCAGGCATCCAGTTCTTCTTGGTGTTGGGGTCAATCTGGAAGACATGCGCTCGGGTGGTGAAGATGGGCTGTTCTCTGCAACAGGAGAGTGGGCGTGTGAGTTGAGAGAACATGACTTAATGTATAATTTATGATTTCTAGGCCACCTACTGCCCCAAAAGATTTTAAATAGCTTATAGGGAAACATACATATGCATGAAGACAATTAAAATAAAAGCAAAGAGAGAAGAAAAAAAGAGACACCAGTGAGTAGTTTTTGCAAACCACATTCCACTTAGCTGTTATCCCCTGAGATTGCAGGGCAATTGGTGTAATGAACAATTTGCTTAAAAGGCAACTCCTTGTTCAGTGTTTTTGAGTCCCTGTCAAGTGTCCTATACTTTTTCTGACATCCTGTTGTCATTTTTAGGATTTTGGAACCAATTCATTTTTTAGAATTTTGCAACAAATTTTGGGGGATTCTGCAACAATTTTAGGATTTTCCAATCCATTTGCAGCTTAATGTTATATTTCTATTAAGTACTTCTCAAATTTGCAGTAACTTATGAATGATATAATTTTATCTTTTTTTTTTTTTTGATATGGAGTCTCGCTCTGTTGCCCAGGTTGGCGTGCAGTGATGTGATCTCGGCTCACTGCAATCTCTGCCTCCTGGGTTCAAGCAATTCTCCTGCTTCAGCTTCCTGAGTAGCTGGGATTACAGGCATGCGCCACTGTGCTCAGCTAATTTTTGTATTTATAGTAGAGACGGGGTTTCACTATGTTGGCTGGGCTGGTCTTGAACTCCTGACCTGATGATCTGCCTGCCTCTGCCTCCCAAAGTGCTGGGTTATAGGTGTGAGCCACTGTGCCTGGGTCTCTTTTTTTTTTTTAAGGAGACAGTGTCTCACTGCTGCCCAGGCTGGAGTGTAGTGATGCAGTCATAGATCACTGCAGCCTGGATCTCCGAGGCTCAAGCGATTCTCCTGCCTCAGTCTCCCAAGTAGCTAGGAGTATAGGCACGTGACACCACACTTGGCTAATTTTGCGGGGAGGTGGTGGGTAGAGACAGGGTCTCTCTGTGTTGCCCAGACTAGTCTTAAACTCCTGATCTCAAGTGATCCTCCCACCTTGGCCTCTCAAAGTGCTGAGAGGGCATGAGCCACTGCACCTGGTAATATGATAGAATTATTTTGTGTCTCTGTATCTCTTCAGTCTAATTCTGGAACCATTCACCAACCTGACCAAACCTTTGAATTTTATGTTTCCAACTCATAAAGCTTTTGAGTTTTATGTAGAATTCATCAAATCCATCCCTTCTGCTATTCTTGCCTCTATATTGTTGCTTTTTCACTCCACATGCCTAAAGCACTTTATGTGATTCACCAGATTTACATATTACCTATGTTTCTTTCTGTTGAGTGGGGAATTAGATTTTGACAATAAGTATTTAGAAATAAGGCAGATGAATAAAAATTGTAATGGATTTTACTGCATTTCATATTTTAAGCTATCTACTTCACAAAGTAATGCAAAATGACAGACTTATCACAAAATATGTTTAATTTTGAAGAAAGTATCTTTAAACAAACTCTCAAAAATCCTTTAAGTGTTCAAAATAAGATACGAATAGAAAAAAAGCTATCAACATGTAAAAATAGTCCCATTGTTGCGGATCATGAGGTCAGGAAATCGAGACCATCCTGGCTAACACGGTGAAACCCCATCTCTACTAAAAATACAAAAAATTAGCCGTGCGTGGTGGTGGGCGCCTGTAGTCCCAGCTACTCGGGAGGCTGAGGCAGAAGAATGGCGTGAACCTGGGAGGCACAGCTTGCAGTGAGCCAAGATTGTGCCACTGCACTCCAGCCTGGGCGACAGAGCGAGACTCCGTCTCAAAAAAAAAAAAAAAAAAAAAAATCCCATTGTTTATAAAATGCTACAGATTTAATAAGTACTTATTACAGACACAAAATTAAATTAAAAGGTAACTTACACAATTTTTAAAATCTTTACAATGTCAAAAGAGATAACATAAAAGAGACATAGACAAGAAGATAAAACAAACAAAAAATAAAACAAAGGGAAAAGAGAATTTTAAGTGTTCTGGTCTCTAGATGAAATAATTTTAGGCGAAGCAGTCTTTGAATCCATCCTGACTGTAGAATACTCATTATTAAAATTTTAAGAATGCTCTTGAGAAACTTTTCCTAGAAAACCAATTTGCCACTTGAGCTTCATATAAGGGCTACTGAGTAACACCAGCAGCCTCAACCATCAACTGTGGTTTTGAAGAAAAGCAGCCATCTTCTTTACGCCTGTTTCTCCACGGGCATGCTATTAATGCTGCTTCAGTGCAGCTGTTCACAGAGGCCAGCATTCCAGAACAGAGGCTAGCAGCATTCCTTGCTTCCCGAAACTTCCCTTCCAGGTCCCCTGGAGCAGGACAAGTGCCTCTGGGGCTGTGGATTACTAGGGCATTTTTATTCCCTCAACAGAGAGCAAGTTCACCCACACACTTAATGCTAAACCAACACCCTTCCAGCAGCTGGGTGACAGCTGTTAGAAACAAAAGGAGGATTCTCACTGTAATTTCCTGGATCTGTTGTCAAGAGAGGCCAGCCAATGGGGAGTGTGTGCATATCAATGCAAGCCCTCATATTCCGTCCACGTGATATGATCCAGTCTGCCACCTGGATCACCCAGCTGTGCCACTCTCAGCCCAGCACCATATTTTGCTAGTCATCTAAGTACAACACCATAAAGGAAAACACTTCCTCACACAGTATTCTCTTGCATATGTGAAAGGAAGGAGCGATTTAAAAGGCAGTAACTACAGAACATTTTTTGAAGAATCAAATTATGCTACAATATCTGCCTCATTGTCAGAGCACTAAATGGGCTGGGCTGGGGGCCCATGGGTTAGAGAAGAGCCTTCCTGGGAAGGGACCCAGATTTTCAGATCTTCCCTCCTATTCCCTACACCAGAAAAGAGGGATTGGGTCTGGGTTTTGGCATGCTTAGACACGTGTTTCCTAAATCTCCACGACAGGAATTAGCTGTTACACTTACTAAAAATACTTGTTCCCAGGCCCCATCCTAGCCCTCTTGAACCTGGCTCTCCAAGGAAGGACCCAGGGGGCTCCACTTTTAAGAACTCTAGGTGATTTTTATTTTCAAGGAAGCTAGGGAGACATTCACATTAGATATAATCAGATGATCTAAAAAAGAAAAAATAAAGAAGTGGCCCCTAGAGCCAGCATCTCTACTCCAGAATGACACTGGTGACTGAATGACAGAGGAAGACTCCAGAAAGTTCTCCCACAGCTGTGGAGGGGGCTGGAGGTGGGGCAACAGGGGGACCAAGAACAGGGTCTCTGGATGCAAAGGATGGGGACAAGGGAACAGGCAGAGCTGTTCTGGTCAGGAAGGAGGGTGGAGATGAGTGTGGCCTGTTGTGGCCCAGCAGTGGCCTTCCACAAGCACTCTCTGTCCCTGAGGCCTACACGAGGGAGGAAGTGAGGAAAGCAAAGTGGAAAAACGGAGGAGAAGGCACAGGGAGCCGAGAAGATGGCAGAGCTTCCTGACCAGGCACAGGCAAACCAGCCAGCTGTCTGCGAGGCATGATCCGGGTCAAAGTGAGCAGACAAGAGGGGCTCCATCTCCAAATCTGCCTGCTCAGCTCTGTGGATGGACTGAAGTCATGGTGGGCTGCCATCAGAACGCCCAAGTAGAAACGCAAGGATGCTGGCAGAACACAATGGCTCACCTGGCTACACTCTTGGTCACCATGGACAGGCCCTCTGTAGGGCAGGTGGCTGCTCCAGAGTGGGGGGAGGCACAGAGACCTGGGAGGGGTACTGCAGGGCATCCTGGCAGCTCCATTCTGAGGTAGTCACCATGGCAGGAAGCTATGGTCCTCCTGAGGCCAAAGACCTGCATTCCTCATCCTTGAGCCCCTGGGCAAACAGGGGAGGATTGCACAGCCAGTCTGGCAGGAAACTACCTGTGGCTCTGGGATTTCACAGGAATAACCAAGTCTGGGGGCACTGGGGAGTTCTATGCTATTCTTCTACAATCCAAAATGTCTGACGATATTTTAAGAAAAGGCAAAAAAGGAAGGCAAGGAGAAGAAAAGCTCATAACTGACCTTACCAATGACTGCTTACCATTCTGCTAGGCTTGCTCTCCACTTTGAAACTGCAACAATCCTACAGGGAAGGGGCTGAACAGGTGGGGAAACAAGAACTCAGAGAGGCCAGGTAACCTGACTTGGGTAACACAGTACATGACAGGTCTGAGATTTGATGTTTTTTGTTGTTGTTGTTTGTTTTGTTTTTTGTGTTTTTGTTTTGTTTTTTTCAGATGGAGTCTTGCTCTGTCGCCCAGGCTGGAGTGCAGTGGCATGATCTTGGTTCACTGCAACCTCCACCTCCTGGGTTCAAGCAATTCTCTGCCTTAGCCTCCCAAGTAGCTGGGATTACAGGCACCCACCACCACGCCTGGCTAATTTTTGTATTTTTAGTAGAGACGGGGTTTCACCATCTTGGCCAGGCTGGTCTTGAACTCCTGACCTAGTGATCCACCTGCCTCGGCCTCCCAAAGTGTTGGGATTACAGGCGTGAGCCACTGCACCTGGCAATTTGATGTCATTTCTAAGTGACATGGAAACCCTCCCTCTTAACCATTATGTTACTCTTTCTTCCTACAATAATAGCTGTCTGTAGTAGGCAGCTTCGGATGTGGCTCCCGGTGACCTCCACTCCTAGTGTTCACGCCCTTATGGAATCCCTTCCTCTTGAGTGTGGGCTAGACCTGCAACTTGCAAAGGTGATGGGACGTCATTTGTGTAATTAAGTCACATAGGATTATGACATCTATCTCCTACCAGGCTCTCTCAATAAATTACCTTGTTGGTTTTGATGAAGCAAGCTGCCATATTAGGGAGATCCACCTTACAAGGAATTGAGGAAAGACTCCAGCCAACTGCCAGACAGGAACTGAGGCCCTTAGTCCAACTCCCTTGGAGGAATGGAAATTCAGCCAACGACCACATGAGCTTGGAAGCAGATCGTTCCACAAGTGAGCCTTCAGAT